CAGCCTTGCACTCACCATGCTCCACGCGAATAGTGTTTGTGTTAGAACTTATAACAAGTCCATTTAAAAAAAAAAAATTTTTTTAATGTTTTATTTATTTTCGAGGGAGAGAGCATGGGCAGGGGGAGGGGCAGAGAGAGAGGGAGACAGAGGATCCAAAGCCGGCTCTGTGCTGACAGCAGCTTGCCTGATGTAGGCGGGGCTCCAACTCACGAACTAGGAGATCATGACCTGAGCCAAGGTGGGAGGCTCAACTGACTGAGCCGCCCGGGCACCCCTATAAGTCCATTCTTCGTGGGCCTTCGTTGCGGCTGGCTTCTCCATCGTGGTAAGCCTGGGCTATGTGCAAAATGAAGGGCTCCTTGATTCATGTCAGAGAGAGAGAGAGAGAGAGAAGAGTGGGTTCCCTGGTGAAAGGGCAGGAACCGTTTAAAGCAGTTTTCATAGAAAAGGAAATCCTCCTACAAACTCCCACTCGGATGGAAATCTTGGTGTAATCCTGCAATGGAATATTACGGAGTCAGTAAAAATGCTTGCATTTGAAAAGGTCTGTGGGAAAAAAGCAGAGTCTAAAGTTGTACCCACTGTATGATCTAAGCCATGTTAAAATGCCATTTTTACATTTCGAAGATAAAAATCTACCTTCTTATCTTTAGGCCATGGATGATGAAAGCTTTTTTGGTTTTCTCTCTACTTTTCTGTATTTTACTACTTTTTCAAACAGCATAAATCTTTATAATAATAATAATGAGGGCAAGAAGGAGGAGGAGACAAAGAACTTTTAAAGGCCTCTCAAGCCTCTATGTACTGCTAATTCCCATTTAAAATCATACTTTCCCTCTCGGGACACCAAGAAGTCACTGCGGGGGGGGGGGGGGGGGGCGGAGAAAAGAGTACCATGGTGACAAGTCTATGGGCATCAGCCCCAAATCTGCAATTGCAGGACCCAAGGCCACTTCCCAGGCCTGCAGCTTGTACTGACAATCTAGGTAATTACACATCCTGGTGTTGACTTTCTTAGCACCTCACATGCCAGACGAAGAGAAGATCCATGAGGCCAGTGGTTTGCGAAAGGCAATCTCATCCAGAAGTTTAAAACAGGTTACAAAGGAGCTAGGTGGCTTCTTGCAAGGGAGGGATGCTGGAGCTTAAACCATCCCCCCAACCCCCCCATCCCCATCCCCGCCCCCCCCTTCTTTTGATCTCTGTGCCTAGAAAAGAAACACAGCTAGAAAAAATAATTGTAATATTCAACTGGCCCATAATATGGAAAACAGACGAGATGATGATGGGGGAAGGGGGAGGATTCTAAGTAATTGGCAAATATATTTTTGCTGAAAATTCACATCTATTTAAATGGCTCCAGCCACCTCTGTTGAAGAAACAAATGATAAGGCTGTTGTTACCAATTTGTCCTCTGGGAAGGGTACAGAATTTGATTTGTGAATTCATTTAAGTCTTTGACTTACCTAGTTGCTCCAAGAATCCTACAATTTACGGGACTGAATAAAATCGTGATTAATAGCAGTCGATTCAGGCTAACAAGAAGTTGGTTGCTCCCGGTGAGTTCTGTGTTTGGTGTGGTATGGGGTGTGCCTAAATACCCTTTTAGATTTGTTTCTGCCTACAGATTGCTGTGGGTCCTAGTTGTTGTTGTTGTTGTTGTTGTTTTACGCATGTGAGTTTGTGTTATTAGAAACTCTTTTGCACATTATGATATAAAATATGAAAGGCATGTGTCTTTTCTCCAGTTTGATTATTTGACTTGACTTAGCACCTTTCTGAGGTCTGGATCCTAGTGCACGGGAAGCCCTCAGCAGCTTTCAAACACACCTGCCTGGCAGCCTGTGCAGCCGCTGGGGGGCCCGAGTGTTTCCCTTCCTCTGTCTCTAAAGAGAGGAAGCCAGAGGCTGCAGGCAGGCAGCATTTGCAAAACATGCTGGTGTGAGAGGGCGTGTGTGCAGGCAGGTGCGCTCAAAGTGTCACCATGAGTGCATTTCTGGACCGCCGTGTGCTGTGGGGGCCCCGAAAGAAAGGGTCCACAGAGGTGCCAGCCTTTCCTGTGCCCCAGAGGTAGCAGGCACCTTGTGGGGGACCCTGCACTGGGGCCAACAGCCTGGACAAGTAAAGACAGGCTCTGAAGGAAGACTGCTTCCTCCACCAGCCGCTCCCTGGGTGACCTTGGGCAAGGTTCCCACCTCCTTGAGACGGCGCAGTCACCTGCAAAGTGGAGGTAATCACAGCAGCTTATTGTGAATCATTGGCGTTGTGATTGTGCAAGAGAATGCTTTCAGAGATACTTACAAATTATGTAGAGGTGAAATCGTATGAGATCTGGGGTTTGCTTTAAAAATAATTAAGCAAAAGTATGGGGGGGGTGATTCCATTCACATCAGTTTCAAGAATAGGCAAAACTAATCTGTGGTGATAAACATAAGACTGAGAACTGAAATGAATGAGAAGAAATGAAAAATGACAAGTGGAAGAGAGCACCAGGGAACTTTCTGAAGTCCTGAAAATGTTCTGTGACTTGATTTGAGTGATGATTACATGGGCATAATATTTGGCCAAACTCATCGACCTGCAAATGGTTCAGAAAAATAATACGTGTGTGTGTGTGTGCATGCGTGTGCGTGCGCGCGCATGCATGAGGGAGACTGAGAGAAATATGATAAAGCAAATATGGTAATTTGTTACCATTTGGGGAAATCCCATTGAAGGGTATATGGGGATTCTTTGCATTGGTTTTGCAACTTTCTATACGAAATTATTTTAAAATAAGCTTAGTAACTTATCAAACTTTACACTTAATATCTACACATTGACTATATATAAATTATATACCAAAGTACAAGTTAAAAGCAAGATCCTGATAAATGTAGAATCCGAGTGACAGGTGTCTGGAGGTTCGTTATGCTATACTTTCTACTTTTATGTATGTTTGACTACTTTTATAAAAAAAATAGTCAAAATTAAAAAAAAAATTTAAACGTTAAAAACAACCCAAATATCTTGTCAAGTTCCTGGCCCTGCACCCAGTCCTAGGCGTTTTCCCCCTCTGAGAATGACCCCACCAGAGCCACCCTACACCCTCCCTCTTGGGTGATCTGAGAATTACAAGTATGTCATGTGCTGAGGCTGGCATCATCTGTGACCGTGCTTGACAAAATACACACCCCAAACTGGTTTTCTCTGCTCTTCAACCAAAACGAGGTAAAACGAATAGCCAGACAATACTGGGGATGCATATCTTTTCCAAGCCCCCGCTCAGGTGAACCCCTCTTCCCCGGTGTCTTCCTCCCGCAGAAGTTGAGCTCAAAGTAGCCCCAGTCACGGCAAGGCCAGCAGGGAAAGTCACCAAGGTCAAAGCCGGAGACGTGTAAATACCTTGTAAGACAAGCAGGAACCACTCTGGATCTGATTTCACTTTTGCAAGGTAAACATTTGCTGTGGCCAAGACAGAGGGAAAAAGTGAGGACGGGTGACCTTTGAAGTGCATCAGACACATCTCTTAAGAAAGCTTCCATCATTATGAGGGTGGTGGCTGCTTGTTCCCAAGGGCTGAACAGGAGCACTGACCCAGGAGGATAGACGCTTGGGGGTACCGTTCCCAGCTGCGTCGCTAGTAATGCATGTGACCTTCTGTGAGTCACCTCCTCCTTCATAGGCTTCTTTCCTCCCCACACAAATGAGGGTTTGAACCTAAGAAGCCCTTGGATACGTTCCAGCTTTGTGATGCTTTAAAACAAACATCGAACCTTCGGTGGAGAAGGACTCCGGGTCAGGGAACAAGCCTTGCAGGCTTCCGGGGCCCAGACTGGAGACAAGTAAGGATACAGCTGGGACAGAGACTTCAGGAAAGATACTGGGCATGGCCAGATCTCCCAAAGTTCTCAGAGAAGCTGAAAACGGAGAATTTTATGTCCTATCTCCCAATTTTCAAGTGATAGTAATTAATTCAAATTTTTTTTATTTTTTTCAACGTTTATTTATTTTTGGGACAGAGAGAGACAGAGCATGAACGGGGGAGGGGCAGAGAGGGAGGGAGACACAGAATCGGAAACAGGCTCCAGGCTCTGAGCCATCAGCCCAGAGCCCGACGCGGGGCTCGAACTCACGAACCGTGAGATCGTGACCTGGCTGAAGTCGGATGCTTAACCGACTGCGCCACCCAGGCGCCCCTCAAATTTTTTTTATAAACACTCTGTAAGTCTAACAAAAATATTTATGAACAGAATGAAGTCCCTGGGCTGGCAGAATGCGCCTGTGGTGTAACATCATAATCTCCTGGCTGGGGGCTGGATCTCGGTCTCCCATCGTGTCAACATTCCCTACTTTGGCTCCCCAAGTCTCAGAGATCACCTCCTTGAGGCTGATTCAGGTAAATGCTAAAGACAAATACTTCAAACACTTTTTCCCGTAACCTACAGTAAAGTATCCATTTTACAGCCACCAGTGGTCATACATATGCATGTACACACGTACAATTGAAAGAAGAGATTCAGAAAATAAAGCTTGCCTCTGCTACAAGCAGTGCTCTCTGATATTTTCCATTCCCTCTTATTCTACTTCATTTTTAAAAATTTTGGCGGCCACCCGTTAAACTGACGTCCCAGGTCTTGCTGGGAAATCATCGCTTTAGGCTCTGCCTTCACTAATTCTCATTTCATTCTCCTTCTCACCTTATAAGGTAGGAATCATTATTATGCCCATTTCACAGAACAGAAGAATGAACCTCGACCTGCACACACCGGGTCTGATTATCTTTGTTCTATTCTTCTAATCAACAAAGGCAAGAATGAGATGAATCAGAAGACTCCAAAGGGCAAGGTCAGAAAAGAAAAGTCCAGATGCGGCAAAGCAATCCAGGAGGACCTTGGGGAGAAATGAAAAATAAAGCAGGTGGATTAAGGCTCTCTGTTGGTGGGGCATGCAATTTAAAGGCTCCCCTTGGTCTACCCTATGGAATCTGCAGGAAAATAGGCAGGGCTCCTTGCGCCATGATGGGCGAGTGGCTTCTACAAGGGGAAGCCAGGTTTGTCAACCAGGTGGCTCCTGCGGTCCCAAGAGGGGCTGACGAGGTTGCTAATAGGTCACATTTATGAACTTGGAGTTCCGGCTCCAGACCTGTAGGGGTGGGTGATTGGTGGTTGCAGTGGGAGAGAGAATGGGTAGGGTTCAAATCAAGATCCATTTGACCATCAAGGCTGGCCTGAGAAAGCTCACCACTCAACTCTACTATGAATTACTGACAAAAGTTCTATGTTTCTTCCGTAGGCGATGGTCAGAGAGGACAAGAGACAGAAGTGTAGCCTAGGGATGTCAGTGGGGGGAGATTTGGTTTTTTAAGATGGATGTACTTGACTGTTCATTGGACCAGTCAGCTGGCCTAATACTACTTTCTCTATTCAAGCTTGGCAGCAACCTGGGCTGGGAAAGGAAGCCTAGCATCACCCGGCACACCCCAGCCCGGCCCAGCATGGCTCTGTATAGCCCGGCCTTCCTTGGAGGCACGTCTGGGCTAGTGGCTGAGTCTACCCCCCATCTCTTTTTCTCTCTCCTCCGTGTTCTCTACCTCCAGATTCCTCAAGAGGACCAGTGGAGGTGAGTGGCTTGTTTATAAAGTCCAGAGGCAATAATTTCAGACATTTGCACTGGGTGGCTTTCTGCTTTGTCCAAGTGTGTGAGGCAAGCACGATTGCTGGGTAGTGTTTAAAGCCGACGAGTCTCAGATTAGCATCTCAGAAGTCAATTAAGAAGGCAATTTCTTCCCTTGGTTTGTATTTGCATATTATTAATGAACTGCAAGGCCTCCTTGTGTGGTAAATTAACCTGGGTAACTGGGGAGCAGAGTACAAATATTTTTTCCCCTTAATGGCCCCGAACATTTATCTCATATGGAGAAAACGATATACAAGCACAGGGAGGGCTCCCTGCTCTGGCAGCGGAGGAAGCACACTGGCACAGCTCTGATAAATATTGATGTTTGTTTATCCAAATGTCACAGACCATCCTGGCAAGCTGCCACCCTCTCCCACCCTACGCAGCCTTAACTGACAGCACTTATTATGCAAGGAGGAGATCTAGGAGCCCCAACTGCCTCTGTTGAATGACCTGTGGACTTGGTTTCCTGAACACGCACACGCACACGCACTCATGAGCGCTCACGCACGTAGAGGAACCAGTTGTCCTGACCTACGAGTGTTAGGAACGGGACCAAAAAAACCTACATCCCACCTTTAATCGAAGGACAGAAGTATATACTCCTGTGTACAAGAGAATGGCCATTGGACGATCTCTGCCCTCACTGAAATAACTAGCTTGGGGACGTGTGAGTGCTACCCTCACGTGCTGCTGTGGTACGAAATCAACGCCATGAAGAAAGAAACTATGCTACGTGTTAAGTACCGGAGCAGTAACACGGAGATTTTTACAACCACCTGTCCGGGGAGTCACCACTGAGCTCCTGAGCACCTACCAAGTCCAAGGCAGTGTGAACAACAGCCCTCACTGAACCGCCTTCTCAGCAACATGGTTCAGCCTCAAAATGTTTGGGGACTAAAGCGGAGTGCACACGAACACGGTCCGTGTATTCGTGACGTGACTATTTACTGAGTGCTCAGCGTGCAAATGCCAGGTGCTAGACACAGAAAAAAACTGAAGAAGACGCATTCCCTCAAGAAGGCCAGCAGCCAGTGGGGGGACACACAGGTAGGCAAAGCACCAGAAAGCCGGCCAGGAGAGAAGAGCACCCCAGGCTCCTGGCACCCACAGGGAGGAGTGGTCCGTGAGGAGTGGCCAAGAAAGTGTCCTGGGGCGAAGCCAAGGGCACCCGGCTCATGGCCTCTGCTTCCCCACCCC